TCCTGCCTGCCACAGGCCGGCTGCTGTGCTCTCCTCTGAGGCTCCCTATCTGTCCAGTGGACCTCCCAGTCAGTGAAGGGGGTTCCCAGGGTAAAGGAACCTTTCCCCTTTGAAAGCTCCCTCCCGGGGCACAGGTCCTGTCCTGATTCCTGCTTTTTTTTTTTTTCTTTCATCCTATCTGGTTATGTGGTGATCTTTCTTGCAGCTTTGGTTGTATGAGATCTTCTGCCAGTGTTCAGTGGGTATTCTGTGAGAATTTTTCAACATGTAGATGTGTCTTTCATGTATTTGTGGGAGGACGTGAGCTCCACGTCCTTCTATTCTGCCATCTTGATCTCTGCTCCCAGGTTCTTAACCTTTGAGAACCTAGTGCACTGTGGACCAAAGCCCAGACACAGAGCTTGTCAAGAATCTGGTGGCTTCCCAGGCCTTGAAGCACTCCTTGGCGCAGCTTAAGACCCTGCCTGCCTGGACCGTCCTTGTCCCCCTGCCTTTTCATGCCTCTTCCTCCCAGTCCCTCCTCTGATCCCCATTCTGCCCAGCTCTGAAGTCTACACTCCTCAAAGTGAGGGACTCTGACTCCCCATCACTCTGTGACCTGTCACTGCAGTGAAACGCAAACCTGCCCTGTAAGGGAACCACACCTGCCATGTGAGCCAGGCCTGGTAACTAGCTCCTGCCTCTGATCTCCTGTAACTCTTGGCACTCAGTTACACTCTGTCCTGGTCATTTTTTATTTTCAATGTGTGTGTATCTTCTTGTCTCAGCTTGATTGCCAACTTCTCTGGAGCCGAGGCTGGGTCTTTATGTCCCCTCACAGCCACCTAGCAGAGCTCTCTACATAGTAGATGCTCAAGAAATAGATTTTCAGTTGAATTCAAGGGAATAGACTCCCATAATGGAATGAACTCATTTCAGAAGTTCATTACCAAGTCATGAAAACCTTTCCTCATAGATCCTTCTGGACTGAATCCAGCTCTACCTTAATTAGCAAAGCAATTTGCAACACGTTCCCAAAAGTGCTTATGCATCCCTTTGTGTGACTGGAATAGGGCCCACTGTACCACCCAAAATTCAATTTTGAAAATCAAAATCAGTGCCTGCGGCAGTGATGTAGATTTGTATGTATAAAAGTTTAATATGGTAAAGAGAAATTTACTGACGACTGAGCGGGGGAAATGCAAAAGGAGCCAAAAGAGAGCCGAAAAGGACACTTTGTCACTTGAACATCTATTTTATTCAAATTTAGGGAGCAGAGCTGAATTTTTCATAATATCCCACTGCTGCCTTTTTTAAACCCAGCTTTGCTATTAGTCCTAAAATGTCCATAATCTCATTAGGTGTGAATGCAAAATCAGGTAGTTTAAAGCTTGTATATAAGAATATTTCTAAAAGTGCACAGTACACTTCATCGGGAAAACTGTGTATTTCAAAATTCAGCGATGTTTGCGCTGGAGTCTGTGAATAGAGTGTAGGATGTAGGTATGTGGTGAGGCTTCCGGAATTAGACAAGTATTTCTATTGATGTACTTTTAAGTAGTAAATAAGACAATTTTGTAATTGCTGAGCTTGGATTGGGTGTGACTAGGAACCCAGAACTGGCCTTGGCTCCATCTCTGCTTAGGCAGTAATAACTTGGCTTGAAGTTGCCGTACCTCAAACTCTCATCACCTCCACTGAGCTACTTTTACAGCCTCGTACAGACACCTTCTGACCTCAGATGAGAAATTGGGTGACAAGGTCCTTTTTTGGTGATTTGTCATTTATAGGTGCTTCTCAGATTATTCTTTGAGGCTCCAGGCTTTATGGAAAGTATCTGGGAGACTGTCTCTTTAATACTGAAGGACTTTTGAGAGGTTCAGGGAACACAGAGGGTCACTTTGGTTTTTGAGCAGTGCTCTGTACGGTGACCCCATCCTCTCTCTCTGTGTCCCTCCCCTCTGCCCTACTTCTCTGTCGGAGGTGGGAAAAGCTGAGCAGGAAGGAGACACCCTGCTCGCCCCACCAAGGGTACAGACGGAGGTGGCTGAGCAGCCCTCCGGCCAGCTCTCACTGTTAGATTTGAAGGAAAGGCAGGAGGGGACTCCTTTTGGCAGCATCTCTGAAGGTGAGGATCTGGTGGGAGCACGGGTCTGGTGAGGACGCGATGTGTTGGTGGTCTGCCGGCAGTGAGGGAGCCCGGGAGAGAGGCGCTGGGCAGAGGCAGTGCTGTGAATGCCTTTCTTAATTAAGAGCTGGGTTGGGAGGGTGGTCGGTGGTGGTGGGAGGGGAAGGTCGGGTTGCACGGCCATCAGGTGGAGGACAGGTGCTGCAGACAGCCACTCGCTCAGCAGAGACCAAGGGTCAGTGCGTGATCCCCACCAAGCTGATCATGAAACACTTGGGGACCACTGAGAGCCATCAAGCTCAGGGCCGGAGGTCCAGTCAGGGACAGAGTGAAGCTTCGGTGATTTTCCATCCCTTCATCACTTCACCTCCAGCCATACCCGGCAGTCACACCAGCAGCACTGATCCGCTGATGTGTCCTAATTGCTGTCCCCTGGGCGTGTGCATGAGCTGGTCCTGTGCCTGGAGAGCCCCACGTCCTACTGGTAACTTCCGCCCACCCTCGCCGTGACCCTTGGCAGGGCTTCCTTGGCTCCGCTGATGGTGTCAGGGGCCCTCCACGCACCCCTCATTCCGCTGTCACCGGGATCGTCCTGAAGTCTTCTTTCGCCTTGTAGTTAGTGCAGTAAAGGCCTGTGTTTACTATAACTGTTTACTACTAATAGTAACCAAGACTAATCCCTCACATTCATCAGTGTTCCTGGCCCTGAATTCAGAGCAGTCCAGGCATTACCTTATCCTCACATCGCCCTCAGAAATAGGGACAATTATTATCTTTTCTTTTAAAAGAAAAGTTAAGTTGGGCAGTATGTTTCAAAAATGTCAATGCTGGGAAGACAAAGGCCGAGGAGGTGTCCTGGCTGCAAGGAGAAAGAAACGTGACAGGTAGTGCAGGAGGCGATCCTGGGCCTAAAGGACTGTTTTTTGCTATAAAGAGTTTTACTGAGACAATTGACAGAGTTGGAATATGGACAATGGAACAGATAGAACTGTTGTATCAATGTTAAATGTCCTGAATTTGGTCATGGAACTGTGGTTATGTGAGAGAATGTCGTTCTTAGGAAACATACTGAAATATTATGTATATATAGATATAGAGAAGGATAAAGGAAAAGTGGGAAATTTTTTTTTAAGTGTTGGGGGCATTGGGAGATGGAGTGATTTGCCCAGTACCCCTTAGCTGGTAAGGGATGAGATCCAAATGCAGGCAGTTGGACTCCACAGCTCCCCACAGCTATGCACACCTGCTCTTACATGGGCTGGGCACACTGTAGGTTCTCTTAAATTTATAAGCAGACACATCTGTACAGGTATGAAGAGGGCAAGCAAATGATGAAATGCACAATTATCTTTTGATAATCTACATAATATTCTTTAAAAGTTTGGCTGGTGTTACCCTCTTTTTCCTTTTGCATCTTGTGCCTTCTGTTCGTCTATCGTCTGGTTAGCTCTTAGTTTTGCATGCCCTGCTGAAGACAGAACATTCAAAACGCTTTCCCCCAAAGTGTATGCTGCAGAATTCTGTTCCAGCTGGACTTTCCTTGGAAGCGCCGCCCGATAGGGAGTCAGACTCATGTGTTAATATCTGTTCTTCTTTTTCAGCCTTTAGCCCCAGTGCACTCAAATAATGCCTTTGATCATTAGTCAACAAACACTGGCTGCCTCCTCAGCCCATCACCCTTTCTCTTCTGATGTGGCTACCTGGGCGTTCTCATGATGGGTGGCCTGAACCTGGGGATGGATTGAGTGGAACTCAATGACAGGATTGTCTTTTTTGTTTGCTGTAAAGTGGGGACCTTATTTGACATGCACACGGAGGCAGAAGTGGAGCTGCCTATTAAAATGCTTAACTACTGATTTATTTATGCTCTGCCTTCTTCGAGAAAGGATTTAAGTTGGAAAAATCCATCATTTGAATTCTGGGAAAAAACATTGAAGAGAAGGTTTCATCCTGGGGACCTTTCAGAATTCTTGGCAGAATAATATAAGGAACTGTAGCTAAATAGTGGCAAAGGCAGAAGGAAGGGAAAACTTTCTAAGAGGTATGAGAGGGAAAAACCCACCTCTCATCTGCATGTTGCCCGCGTTCCCTGGAACTTCCAGCAGGGCCATCCGGAGTATTGCTTTCTTTTCCCCTTTCTATTTGCAAGGCTTCCTAACAGGACCTAACTGGATTCTCCCTCTTGGTTCTCCTCAGTTCACCTGTTTCATCCTAAAATACTACTTTCTTCATGTTTCTTTCCTTGTAAAATTCAACAGCTCCCCACTTACCACAGATGAAAGCTCAGATGATTTTTTTTTCCTTTCATAAAAGAATCTTTAATACATTTCATATTGAAGGTTTAATTCAAAAAGCTCTTTCTTTTTCTCCCACCCAGGCTCTTTTACCTGCATGTTCAGGCCCTCAGCCAGATGGTCTGGTGTGAGGCATAGGTATAGGTAGCATCCCTGCTTCCTCTGCCCTGCTCATGCAACCGCCCCCACCAGGAAGGCCCCCTCCACTCTCCCCAGCTCCTGTGCATCCTTCAGAAACCAGCTTAGTCTCACGTCCATGATCCGCTGACCTCCTCTGACTTCTTGTGGCCCACATTGCCCCTAGCACTCCTGGAGTGTTGTGTTTTTACCGCAGTGCCTCCCACCGCGGTGGCTTGCTGGTTCACAAGCCACAGGTGTTTGGCAAATGTTTGTTTGCCAGTTGAGTTTTCCTGCAGGTTGGGGAGCTGCTGAGGTGGAGCCATTATTCCAAAAAGGTGATTTCTGACCGTGGGACCTGTGGTCAGAGAAGCCAGCTCTGAGCTGCAGGCCTGCTTCCTGTCCTTCCTGGAGGCATACGGTACAGACCCGTGTGGGGGCAGGGCTCATTTGCTCACTTTCTTGGAGGTTTTGTTTTTCAGGTTTCAGAGCCTGAGGCCTGTGATCAGATGTACGAGAGCTTAGCACGGCTCCATGCAAACTACTACAAACACAAGGTGAGTGGGCCGCAGTCTTTTGTGTTGTCCCCAGCCCTCCGACTGGAGATGACCAATAAGAGTGAGTGAAATCTGATTATACGATGTTCTGTAAAGAACTGTGGTTTTGCTACTTTCAAATGTAACCAGTAATTTCAACCAAGCCGACTAAGGCACCTGGTAGAGGCTTTTAGGTCGCCTAAATGAAAGCCATTTTTAATTTTGAAGAAAAGCCATGTGTTTTATATGCCAGTGGATGCTTCCGGGTGTGTCTGACAACTCTTGGATCTCACACATATTTTCCCACCCCCTCTGACGGAACTGGTCTTCCCCACGCTCCGGTGATAAAGATGGGGTGACTGGGAAAGTCCTGTCAGACAAAGCTGGACCTCTGCTCGGCCCTGACATGATTGCTGTCAAATTCCGTTTAGTGTGTTTTTTCCCCAGGCTTGAGAAATGTGCTCAGTAACCACAGATTTACACGGCCAAATGCCTAGTCTGTATGAAGAGGGGATTTCTTCTAAATCCTCACTGCTCAAAGTGTGGTCTGTGAGCAGCAGCATGGGCACCACCCGGGGGCTGGTTAGAAATGCAGAATCATAGGCCCCACCCAGGCTCCCGAGGCCCAGCCTGCATTTTCCAGAGGGTTCAGGTGCGTGTTCACGTCAGAGCCGCCTCTCCAGACCGGACTGGTTTGGCCTCCAGGTGGCGTTGCGCTTCTCCTTCTGGCCTCCAGACACCCATGGCCTGTGAACTGCAGTTAGAGCGTGGCTTCTGTCCAGGATCATCCAGTCCCGGGTTGTGCTGCAGAACTAATCTTCTCTCCCCTCCCTCTCTCTTCCCCTCTGCCCCGTGTGACCAGTACCCTCGCCCCAGAGACACAAGCTTCAGTGGTCTGTCCCTGGAAGAATACAAACTGATCCTGTCCACAGGTATGGAAAGCACAGCTGCTGCCCTTTCTGGTTGGTTTGCAAATGAGTCTTTGTGTTTGAGCGGCCAAGGGGAATTGTCTAATAAGACAGTTTTGCCTGATGGAAAGTCTTGTGGAATAGCCCACAGGAAATTCTGAAGCTACGGGGCTCATGCTTTTTTGGCCACAGAACATGGAGAAGGTCAAAGGCATTATTTAAAAAAAGCAAATCCATCTTTAGAGCTTTTAAATTCAAGGCTGGGCAGCAGGGAACAGGGGAATATGTATTTGCCAAATGGAAGTAGTTGAAATCAGGATGGAAGGAAAATAATTTTATCTTTATGGTCCTAAGGGGGCTTTATAAACATGAGGGTTTTAATTAAAACAAAAAGCCATTCAATAGACGTGTATGGGGATATCCGCCTAAGAGTTATCTGACCCAGGGGACGTGGTCTGTGGGTTAGATATGGGTTTAACTAGGTATGTTTTGGAGTCCTTGATAGACCGATTAACAAGAAAGGAAAAACCCTGTCTAGCCCGGCCCCTCCTTACTTCCCCATCTCCATTGTCACTGAAGGGGGACGTGGCGGGTGGTGGCAGGGGAAGCCTGGGTTGAAACAGGCAGGTTCTGGAAAATTAACTATTTTTATTGCCAAGGATACCACATATAAAAATAGGCTAACCTTTTCTGGGAGGGCACGGCCCTGAAACATTGCCTCCTGGTACTCTAGAAATTTCTCTTTCCTATTCCTCTGGCAGCCTTCAGCAACTAAGGTTTGAGAATTTAGGCTTCCAGAAAACTCTTAACCTTCTGAACAGATTAAAACCTGGTGGTGTCATCTGCTATTGTATGTTGACTGATACTATTTTTATATTTACTCTCTGGAAAACTGGGGTAGAGATATTTTGGCCAGGCAGAATCACTTTATTGGCAGTTTTTTTTAAAGTGTGTGTGTGTGTGTGTGTGTGTGTGTGTATATACACACCCACATACACATATATATAAACAAATGGTACCCCCATGTCCCTGGGCTCATGTAATTACCAGCATCGATGCACAGTGTCATTGTGAGGACCCCGAAGAGTTTGAGCAAAGTTTGAACTTGAAATTAGAATGGAAAGAAGTTCCAGAGGCTCAGCCTCTGCCTCTTGGTTAACTTCGGGACGTCTGAGTTCGGAGACAACGGGCCATAGCCAAGGAGGGGGAGATGTACGACTCCCCACCGCTGGCCTGTGCTGCAGCTTGTCCTGGCTGGGAGTTCAGCCTTAGGAAATTAGCTGATAATTTGCTTTCACAGCAAGCCTCTTATTTTTGTTGTGACTCTGTGGAATAAGCTTACTGAGTGTTTCCTCTGACAGGGCAGGACACCTTGCAGTGTTTGTCATGAGGATTTGAGGGCCTGGCAAGTCTGAAATGTGGCCGCAGTCTAGGTCCCGAGTGTGTCCATCCTGGCTTGGGGTCCCAGGAGACTCTGAAGGAGGCCTCGGCATCTGTTTTGTGCCCCACAAAGGAAGCTGGACTTCTGGAAAAGTCCCAGGGTGGAATGCTGGCCGGGGTACAGTGCGTGTCCTAATTTAGTCAAGAGCCCACTGACAATAAATGTTAATAGATGATGTAAGTTACCTTTTTGTTCAGAAAAGCTATTCTTTTTCTCCAGAAGTTTTATTAAGAGATGAAAATCCAGGCTATGAAATTTAAATAATGTGAAAATCTAAACTTAAAATACAAGTAAAATTAGGTATCATAGAACTTTAGCCCTGGACAGACTTTAGACCAGTGGTTCTCAACCCGGGAGCGATTTTGTCCCCCAGGGACCTGTGGCAATGTCTGGAGACCATTTTAGTTGTCACAGCTTGCGGGGGGAAAGGGCAGTTTGCTACTGACATCTAGTGGGTAGAGGCCAAGATGCTCCTGCAGTGCCAGGTCAGCCCCACAACAAAGAATTATCTGGCCCCAAATGTCACTGAGAAACCCTGCCTTTAGGGGGGAGGGGGGAGGGGTGGATGTATGTTTTTAAACAGAGGCCCCACTGGCTCCCACCAGCTCCCGCTGCCTTCACGCCTGTGAAGATGGCTACATTTTCTTGAGTGTGGGCCAGGTGCCAGGTACGTCACCTCCGTTATTTACTTTAAGACTCACAACTTTTGAGGCAGGTGTTTTGATCTCCACTTTGCAGATGAGGAACCCGAGGCTCAGAGAGTTAACTGATTGCTTGAGGGGACCCAGTGTGGAAATGGTGGGCAGGGATGGGGGCCCAGGTCCAGCTCCCTCCCGGGTGCCTGCTCAACTCCACAGCGTGGGGTGGACCCAAGTGTCTGGGGTCAAATCCCAGCTCCACCACTTCCTAGCCGTGTAGCCTGCTCAAGTTCCTTAACCTCACTCTGCCTCAAGTTTCCACATCTGTAAAATGGACAGTAAGGTCTGTGTGGCTCAGGCCAAGTTTTGAGATAAGCCTCTGGGCCTGTGCGTTGTGTAGCTGATGCTACAGCGCCTTTGCTCACGTGGAGCGGAGCGGAGAGGGCCCTGCTTAGATGGTGAATGATAATTGGATGTGAACAGAGGCCACTGTAAGGACGGTCTCTGGTACACAAGTGCTCATCCACACTTGCATTTATTTGTCTGTTACCCTGCCTGATTTGCTGATCAGAAGTTGGGGCTACACTTCCCTTTCTTAGGAACATACTGTGAAAAGCGAGACATGCCTGTGTGGCGAAAGCCCTGTGGGGCCAACCTGTGTAATCATTTTAGACTTCAGCCTTTTTTCTTTGTCTTCTCCTTTTGCAGATACCTTGGAAGAGTTTAAGGAGATGAATAAAGGCATGTGGAAGAAACTGCAGGAGAAGTTTGCCCCCAGGGATCCCGAGGAGCAGCATAAGGCCTGGGCTCGGGCCTTAACACGCCCACATACCTAAGCGTAAAGTCGTGGACGTTGCCATTATCAATAAAATGCCCTGATTTCCCTTTCCTTGTAGTTCGGGAATCTCATCTGGCCTTCACAAGAAAGGAAGCCCTTGTTGCTGTAAAGAAAGCTCTGGCCTGAGGAGGGACGCCAGTTGAGCATCCGCCCGCCCACCAGTCAGGCTAGGATGTCCTCCAGGAGAGGAAGTGCGGGTCTCCGTCTGGGCCTGAGAAGGGATGGTGACGGGCCCTGTGGGCAAGGTGCTTCCTGCACGGCCACAGGAGCCCCACCTGCCAACAGAGGTCTGGCTGGCTCCTGGCAAGATTCACAGGCTCCCTTTTGTTTTAGGAGCTCCTGGGAGAGAGCCAAAAATAGCATTCAGTACTGAAGAAGGCGTCCTGTTGCAAACAGAAAGCAGCAGGAGGTGTATGACAGAGGGATGAGAAAAGCCTGCTTGGCCCTCCTCCCCACTGACTCAGAAGGCCAGAGCTCAGTCCTCTGCCCCTGACCTTGCAGAAAAGCCATGTTCCAAGTTGGCTTAAGGGGCAGAGTAGAGCTACCAACAGGCCAGGCAGGGCCCCGGCTTCAGTGGGCTTCAGCACTCGGGGCGGGTTCTGTGGGAGGCCACATGGCAGGCCCCCTCCCCTGGCCGGGGACACGCACAGGGTCACCTTATTACTCCACGGGACCTTAGCTCTTACCAGTAGATGTTTACATTCCCTACTTCAGGTTTCTTGTCAAGAACAGAGCTGAGAGAAGGGGTAGGGCAGGGCCGACAGCACCCCTTGTTGGGAAGAAGTGGAAGTGGGTTCTTAACCTCATTTTACCTGGACTCCTCACTGTGTTTTGAAATGCATAAAATAAAATTCATAGGATTATGATAGAAACCAGTTATCCCGTAGTACAGTTCTGTCCCGGAATCGCTGCAAGACAGGATGGCATTCAGCATCTCCCAAGAGCCCAAGGTTAGGCCAGCAGGCAGGGCTCGTATTCTGTCCTCCGCCAGCGCCACGTTACCACCCACCCCAGCCCCTGAGGAGCACGGGAGCCAGCCTCCCTTTCTAACGGACTAGATTTATTAATTTATTTAAGGTAATTAACGTATTAGTTCTCGGGCCAAAGGATTTGTAAAACATTACACCAAAAGGAGAAAACACAAGCAGTCAAAACCAGCCCCTGTTAACATGCCCCAGCCCTGTCACCTGGGCTTGCGACTCTTGCCCAGGAGGCGCAGGAGGAGGCAGGTCTTAGGACCAAGCCTGTGGTCACCAGTCCAGCCAGGGCTGTGCGGAGGGGGTGGCGTGGACTTGGACACTGAGGTCTACGCACTGTATACGGCAGTTCTGAGGCACAGGGGGGCTGCACGGCCCTGGCCAGGGCTGAGCCTGGCACCGTGAATAAGTTAAATAACAAAGCCCTAAAATCACTAGCGACAGCATCACCGCACCCCTCCAGAGGCGGCAGTAACCAAAATGTAGTGCTTGGAATAGAATGGAGACGCCACTCCTAATCACCCACCAGGAGGAATACAAAGGCACGTCAGTCATAAGGGACAAAGCAATAGTCCTTTGAGAGGACTTAGGCATTAAGTAAGCCAGTCCCACTGAGTTTCTGAGTTTTTTTTTTTAAGAGCTTGGTCTGGGCAGCACTGTCAGCTCTAGTTTCCCCTCTAAGCTGTTCAGAGTCTATGTTGGCCCAGGGTGGGGTCTGGCAGAGGTGGAGCTGGGGGTTGGGTGGGGACCTGGCCTTGAGGGACGGTGTTCCCACTCTCAGCTCTCCAGTGTCGCATGTGGCCTGACGGGCCTTCCGTGGCTCCACTCAGCGGCTCATGCAGTTCTGGACATCCACGAAGCCCAGGCGTTGCCTGCGTTTCCGCTGCTCCGTCATCTAGATTTAAACAGATGCCGTCAGGTTGGATCAGGCTGCCCAGAACCCACCCTCCCTCCCAGCTGCGGTTCAGCCCTGGCGGCAGGCTGAGGCGCCCCCAGGGTGTAGCAGGGATGTCAGCCCCAAACCCTTGTCCTCAGCACGTCACAAACCACTGATTTGGTGCAGCTGGGAAAGCACCCCACCTAAAAGAGGGGCTGCCGATTTCATTTAGTCACAGCCAGATGGAGCGGAGGATGCTCTGGGCAAGAGGGGCTCTTTCTTGAGAAGCGGAAAGAGGCCTTACCCTGCCATCACCAGTCAACGCCTGAGGGGGACTCGCTAAAGCAAGGGAGGCCCCAGCACTGGCACGAGGTTCCACTCAGCCCTGTCTTTCTGGGGCGCAAGGATAGGGGCCACGACCCCGTCTAGCTTTCCACAGAGGGGAGAAGTGTGTTTGGAACCTGTTTTCCACCCCAGACCCAAGAACAGGAGCCAGCAGGAAAGGGGGCAGGGGGAGCGTGAAGGCCCCAACACCCTCCCCCACGCCACGAGGCAGGCCCTGAGGCTGCCGGTGTGCTGCCAGGACAGGGCTAGGGGCACACCTGCTCCTTGAGCTCGTTGAGCTGGGCAGTGAGGTGGGACACCAGCTTCATGGTGGAGTTGAGCTTGTCCTGAAGAATCCGGATCTCGTTCTGCTCCCCCTCCCCCTCGTTGCTCACCAGTGACATGGCCCGCATCCGGGGGAACCAGTCCAGGTTCTTGTTCTGAAAAACATCACCAGTGGGGTGAGCGAGCTTGGGTCCAGCCTAGGAAGGCCTTGTTTAGAAAAGCAGTTGTGTGGGGGGAGCCTGCTACCACACCCTTGGCCAAATTACTCCCCAGGGATGTGTCACGGGAAAATCTGAATTGACCTGTGTCCTCCCCGGGGCCAGAGTGAGCTGGCAGTGACCCTGAGGGGGCGGGGAGGCCACAGCAGAGACAGGCCAACCTCCGTTAGACAGCCCGAGTCTCCCCCTGGTACCAACACCACCTGTTTACTCTCCTAACACCCTGCGAGCGGTGGAAGGCAGGCCTCTGCACCCAGACCCTGCCTCTCCTCCCTCCCTTCCTTCCTTCCTTCCTCCCGCCCTGACAGCACACCCCACACCCCAGGAAGATGCCAGTCAGACAGATGGTGCGTTGAGGGAGCAGAGCTCTGCTGAGGGTGGCTGGCATCTGACACGTGAGGCAAAGCCACGTTTCCCGGGACAGAGGCAGAGCGGGAGGGGACACCGAGCAGCTTTCTAGTTCCTTGTGGCAAGCTCTGAGTTCTCAGATCAACAGATAACACCTGCGCTCAAAGACCAATCCAAATACAGACTCAAAAGATGCATAGAACCTCCCCCCACACCTTTCTTTCCTTTTAGGCTGCATTTTCTCTAATGTGCAATAATGTTAAGATGCACTACATCTGATGGGACTGATGGCATCCTTTACCCTAAATGCGCCCAGACCTTTATTACTCACTGCCTTCACTCCCTTCGCTCCTGCATTGGAGTGACGGTTGATTTCTCCTAAGTTTGACAGTTGATAGTTCATCCAGACGCCCTCTTGGCCTGCGACCACCCAGGCTTCACAAAGCTGCCCTCCCTCTCGCCCAGCTAGAAAAGGCCCCTCAGAAAGGGCCACCGAGCAGCCGCCACAAGCAGGGCCGCCTCGCCTCAGGCACCCACGGGCCCCGGACACCATGCGCGTCCTCTGGGGGCTTTTTTCCGGAGGCACCCCTGCAGCACAGCAGCTGGCGGGGCTCCTGAGTAGCCGAGGTCGGCTCCAGCTGTTCCTTGTCCCCTGCTGCCTGTTAACAAGTGTCCACAGCTGTCCTGACCACCCCCCTCCCCGGGCCCACACCTTGATCATCTGGGCCACGTAGCTCTCGGGCCCTGTGTAGTCCGTCTTATTCTTCACACGGACCAGCACAATGAAGTACAGGTAGTTCCACATGTTGTGCTCGAACTTGATGTGCTCCTCAAATGACACCGTCTTGTTGTCAAACTTGTCCCTCTCCAGACCTGCGGAGGCAGGAGGTGGGGGTGAGGGTACACCCCCTCCCCCGCCTCCAAGAGACCCAGTGGGCAGGCACGGCCTCCCGATGCAGTGGGGACATTGTTCTTGGGCTGAAAGTTCTGATGAATGCAGGCGACAGCCCACTCTGGGCTCTTTAGGTCACTTCTATTTAGAGCAGCAGCCACACAGCCATGGAGCCCCCGCCCTGCCGCAGCACAGAGGGGACCATGGGAGCAGACGCCAGGATCCCGGGGGCCGGGGAGCCGGAAGAGCTTGGATGAGGGTCCTGTCCTACAGGGGCCCACCTGCTTCTTTGCCTGTGGTGGCTGTGAGGGGACCTGCACTTCATACCTAGGGGGTGGGGAGAAAGGCCCTGGACTGAGACCAGAGGTTTGAGGCCACTGACCAGGCTCGTTTCCTCATCTGAGACCCAGAGAGTTTAAAGGGAGGATTTCTGAGGCCCTTTCCCACTCCCTTCTATGACTCCAAGTTCGGGTAGGGTCCTGTTCTCCCCAGTTCTGGGATGAGCGAACAGCCACCAAGCCGTTGGCCCCAGGGCAGGGCTCCCCGGCGGCCACAGGAATCTGGGAAGGGCCAGACTGAGGCCGACAACGACGGCCACGGCCTCCTCAGGCAAGAGCCCAGCCTCACCACAGATGAAGCACGTGGTCTTGAGAATTTCTTCCTTCTTCTGCTTCTCACTGCGCAAGTCGGCAAAGGTGTCGATGATCACCCCAAAGATGAGGTTCAGCACGATGATGATGACAATGAAGAAGAACAGAAGGTCATAGACCACGCGGGCCGGGAAGAGAGACTCCTATGGGGGAAGGCAGGGAGGCTGGGGTCAGCAGCCCCCATCGGAAGGGAATAAGGGCATCTGGCTCCCAGGGCCCTGAAGACGGCAGAGAGGACCCAGCCTCACCACACAGAATGAGAATCACAATCAGAGGCCCTGAGTGTGGATGAGGACTCAGCGGCCGGGATGAGGCCCTCGAGGAGTCTGGCGTGGGGAGCCAGGCCTGCGGGCATGGCCCGCCCCTGACTGCTGGTTAGGGGAAGAGCAGCTCTGAACTCCTCTGCCTGCCCTCAGGACACCTGGTCTCACTTGTTCTAGAAACCCTCTGGCCAAGGAGAAGCTTCTCACCCTTGTGCCA